GGGGCTGACCTGGCTCAGCAGGGCCTTGCTAAGCCTGCACATGGAAGGGCACCCTGGGGAGTCAGGGCCCACGTTAGTTAGGTCCGGGGGAGACTGCCCTTCTCCTGACCCAAGGCGGGCGGGTCCCCAACCCCCAGTCCTGCTCCCGGATCCAAGCTCCTGGCTCCCACTGGGTCGGACAGGCTCAGGAAACCTGCCCCCTGCACACAACGCCCCTTTGAGAGGCGCGTTCGCTTCACTGACTGATTGTGTGATAGTCACACACCCTCCTCACAGCGCCCGTCCTGGACAGTGGACAGCCTCCCCGGCAGTGAGGCCGCTGCCCTCTGCCCACCGGCAGCCCTCAGGCCCAGCCCAGGGGCCTCCCCTTCCCACCAATATTGCGGTCCCTGCCCCTCTCCTGTCGGCAGCCTCGGCTTCCCCCACTGGTAAGTTCGCAGCGACTGGTGGGTAGGTAGACAGACGGGCAGAGCAAGGACGAGGGGCCAGGGCCAGGAGGACGGAGAGCCCAGGTGCCTGGCAAAGGACATTGTGTGGGGGGGGCTCGCCCCCAGGTGACCTCTCCCCTAGCACATCCCTGGCCATGTGGTTTGCACCCCTGACCTTTCCTCCCTGAGACAGCGTCTAGGCTTCAGTCGTATGTCAGCTCCAGGCCCAGAAAAGCAGCAAAACCAGACCAGTGACCCCATGGCTGCCTCAGGACAGCTGATGGCACAGTGACCCTTGCCTGGTGCCGGCCGGCCAGTCAGTGCAGACCCGGCCCTGGAAGGATACTCCTGGCAGCTGCTGACTGTTCTGCTGAGACCCTGCCCTGGGACCTCCCCTATCTCTCCACCGTAACGCCCCCAGGACTGAGGGCCAGCACACCCCCCCGCCCCCCCGCAGGCACATCTCCTTTACTTTCCTCTCTTCTCAGCTCCAAGGCCCTGCCTTGGCCTCCCTCACTTGTTTCCTCAGCCCATTTCTCCTCCCACCTCTGTGATTTTATAAACTAGAGGCCCGCTGCACAAATTCATGCACGGGTAGGGTCCGTCCAGCTGCCCCAATCGGATCGGGCAGGGCCGGCCAGGTGGAGGGGACATGGGAGGTTGGCCGCCAGCCCCCCCCCGCCCCCCCCCTCCCCGTTCAAACTCCAGGTTGAACTCCGGGTGGAGGGGACAATTGGCATATTAGCCTTTTATTAGACAGGATGCTCTCTTATAGTTTGGGTCTTGGCTCTGAGTTCTTTCCTTGCCAAAACCCAGTACTGAAGTGGCTGGACCAGGTCGGGTCTGACCACTGGTCCCACACCGGGTGCCGTCCGGGTCCTGCTGCCCCAACACCCGACGTCTGCCACTGGTCCCATCTCTGCCACCCACCAGTCGGTTAACTTTTCAGTCACCTCTTCACTGCAGGTTTTCCGTTCCTCCCTGTGAAATGCGAGGCACTGGGCTCCCGTGTAGGCCCTGCCGTGGCCACCGACACTCCCAGGAGACGTGCCTGTGGCCAGAGTCCTGGCAGGCAGAATCCGGGGGTGCCTGGCCTCCCACCCCCTCCACTCAGGAAGTTGGAGGGAGGGAAGGAGAAAGGAGGGAGTAGGGAGGAAGGAGTGTGGAAAGCTAGACAGCTGGGAGACAGTCACCATTTTGGGTGAGGGGTGCCTGTGTCCTGCCTCAGGCCCGACAGGACGCCAGCGTGTCCAGCCCGAGACCAAGTGTTCTCAGGGGTTTTCTCACGGGGAGTCCTGGGGCGCCCGTCCCAGGGGGGAGCCTGCTGCCTGTCACCCAGAGGAGGTTTCAGATGAGACTGACCTTGTCCGGCTGGTGTGGCTCAGTGGTTGAGCATCAACCTGTGACCAGGGGGTCAGGGTTCAATGCTCAATGAGGGCACAGGCCCGGGTCTCAGGCTTGATCCCCAATGGGGGGCGTGCAGAAGGCAGCCGATCCATGATTCTCTCTCATCACTGATGTGTCTCTCTCTCCCTCTCCCTTCCTCTCTGAAACCAATAAAAATAGAAAAAAGAAGATGAGACCGACCAGGGCAGGAAGCCAGACGACCACTGGTGTCTCCTGTCCCCGGTGACACCTGGGCCTGGCCACCCAGGAGCCTGCTGCGAGAGAGCCCTTCTCACGCCCACTTCCTGGTCCCCACACCCGGCTCGGGCCCCATGGGAACGGGGTGGCTTCGTGTAAGAGCCGGTGCCCCTCTGGGTCTGGTGCCCACTTCACAGTGGCAGCGGGCTCCGTCGGGCCTTGGGGTGGATGCCTAACGCCACCAGCTCAGGTTCAGCTGTTTCCGGTTAGTGTGGCTCAGAGACGTGGGGGGATGTTTTCCTGAGATGACCCTCATCCCCATCCAGCCCTCCCCTGCATCCACCTTTCAAACTGAGACTCTTGGGTGTGATCGGTGGGGATGGTGCCTTCTCCTCCGGTCACCTCCGCGGGGGGTCGCCGGAGCAGGAAGAGGAAGTGCACTCGTTATGGAGACGCTATGCCGCCACTAACTACAACATTACAAATACACGGGTGAGGGCTGACAGGTTGGCCACAGGCCGGGTCGCAGGTGACTGAATTCCTGGGGGAGCTCCCGAAATACCTTGCATCGCCTTCACTGTGGCTGCTGTTGGGTGCTGGGCATGTTCTGTGCTTTCTGTTTCCTTAATTTTGCATTTCTTTCCCAGGCCCCCCTCAAGGACCTTTCCAAGTCAAGTCGTTCCGTGGGCTCAACAAGAAAACAGGGACCTGCCGCCCCCGGCGCTCCCTGGAACGGCCACTCTCAGCTCATCTGCCTCTGCTGACCGGTGACCCTGCTGTACCTGAAGGACCTCTCCCTGAGGTCTGCGGCCCGGGGTCCCCAGGAGGCCAGTCTCCACCTTTCACCTGCTCCCCAGGGTGCGCGTGGCCTGCTCTCCTGGGTGCGGAGGAGTCCGGCTGGGCCCAGGACCGGATGCACTGTCCACAGCCCACTGTCCCGGCCTCGCCAGCCCCTTTCAGCGACCTGTGGCTTCTGGTCCCGGAGCCGGGGGCTGTCCCGTGCCCTGAGCTTCCCCGGTCCTGCCCCCACTTTTCGTCACTTTCCCACGTGTCTGTCCATCACCTTCCTCCGGTCGCCTGCCGCCTGCCCACCACGCACGTCCCAGCTCCCAGGCCGGGCTGTCGCACCCAGCTGTCCCTTGGGACTCTGCTCTGGGGGTTAACCTCTGCCCCAGT